GTTCTTCCAGTCACCAATCTGACCTGCAATGAAAAATTAAAGCTGCACCTGATATGGATGTGTTCAGATGTTTCTCTGCAGTTATTTCGCATTACCTTTGCGCATGAAGTTTCCACTGATCTCTTCTTTTGGTATAAACTCATAGTTGGCTTTTTGGTCTTTCTTCATGGTTTTAAATGTGGCTTTTTCTACAACTTGCTCAACGTCTGCTTCACTGAGGTTTTTTCCTAAGAAACTGCAGATCTTAGTTACTGCTGCCTTCAGGTCCTGAAACAAAGAAACAGGAGACCAACAGAGGAAAACTTCAGTTCTGACAAAGAATTTATCTGAGTGTTTTCACATGAACAACCTGAGGAGAAAAGCACATCTTACCAAGATCATGTCCTCATAGGTCAGGAAGAGGATGTTGTACTGGTCTTTCTTTGAATGCCACTTTCTGATGTGGTCAAACCAGGACGACCCTACAACTGTATAATTGTGTAATGTATCACTTAATGTAAGTGATTGTTACTTGAATATATTGTATTTATTTCAACATTCTGCAAAACCATCCAACATAGTTCAAGAAGACTTTCAAATGAAGACCACTTCAGTCTGTACTAATAAAACTTTACAATCAGCAATGAAATTCTGTATGGAAATCCATGCTGAGTAGAAAATTAATCCTACAGATTTTATGGTCTGTTGTGGTTTTCATTTCATGTATTTTATTTTTTCAGATTTATCAGCACCAGACTATCATCATCATCATCATCATCATCATCATCATCATCATCATCATCATCATCATCCAGATTGTGGAGCTGAGGTATCTCACCATTGCCCATCAAGTACTGCTCCAAAAACTGTTCAAAGCTCATCGGAGTTTCCACGTCAGAGCAGACACTGCTGAAATGGTAATAAGAGATGATGTTGTCCTTTGGATTACGCATCACATAGATGATCTGACAAACAAACAGAGCAATCAGAATTTAATCTAATCTAGTACACATTAGTGTCTCCTCCATTCCAAACTTCATTTACATGTTTCAGTATTTGATGATATTTAACATATACTAAAGATGGACGCCGGATGGATGCTCTCGAAAAAATGACTAAAAGTCAAAATTACAATATTAAGTCATCAACTACATTTATTTTTACTTGGAAAGTTGTGTGTTTAGTGAACAATAAATGTTATTTTCTGATATTGCAGAGCATATACCATTATGCCAAGACTATAAACCCCCTTAGAAGCTCTGAAAAGAGTAGCTAGACAAGTGACAGAAGGGAAGTTAGGTCGGTCCATAGCAAAGGAACACAAGCTAGACAGAATATTGGTCATTTTAATTTATTTTCATGTGGTCTGGGAGTTTTTCAGGTCATACAGCCAGAGCAGCAGTGTATGTAGACCATCCATTCCATCCATCTATTTTATACTACCCCTTACCTGGCATTGAGTCGCGGTAGCAGCAGGTTCAGTAAGATACTCCAGATGTTTCTCTCCCTGACAATGTGTTCCAGCTTCTCTGGCAGGACTCCGAGGCATTCCCAGACCAGGAGATATTTAATCTGTCCAGCCTGTTCTGGATCTGCCCCAGTGTTTCCTACCAGATGGACATGCCCAGAAGACCTTTAAAGGGAGGCACCCTTTGTAGAGCCAGGAGTAATAATAATAATAATAATAAACTTTATTTCTATAGCGCTGTCCAGCTCACAAGAACACCAGAGTGCTGTACAGTAAAAACACACAAAACAATAACACTAGCAAAATACAGGTAGGTGCAAACACAAATATTAACCATGACTAAAATTTAAACAGTAAAACAGGTTAGGTCTCAAAATCCTGCTTAAAAAAGTCAGTTTTTAAGGCCGACTTAAAGGCCACTAGCTCACTTTGCGCCCTTAATTCTACCAGAAGAGCATTCCACAGTCTGGGGCTGTAGATAGAAAAAGATCAGTCACCCCATTTATTGTAGCGGGAGCCAGCCACAAATGATCAGCGGAGTGAAGAGCTCTACGCGGCACAGATACTGACAGCAGGTCAGATAGGTAGGATGGGGTGAGACCCTGAATAGCCTTAAAAACAAACAATAGGAGCTTAAATTTAATTTTAAATTGGATCGGAAGCCAATGAAGAGCACGAAGAATCGGGGAGATATGGACAAACCTGGGAGCATTGGATAGCAGCCGAGCTGCTGCATTTTGGACCAATT